CCAGTGACCCTTCCTCAGAACTAGGTAGGGATCACCGGACCCGAAACGTTAACTCTGATTTTTTTTCTTCACAGATGCTGCCAGACCTACTGAGCTTTTCCAACCACTTCTGTTTTTGTTACCCCAGCGTGAATGTTGTCCAGGTCTTGCTGCATTGTGGACATGGATTCCTTCAGTATTTGAGTAGCGAATGGTTCTGAACGTTGTGCAGTCATTAGCAAACGTCACCATTTTGGACCTTTTGATGGATGGAAGATGAACCAGCTGAAGAGGGAGTCACAGTGTTATTAGATCACGGATGGAGGTTGGGTCTGTAGGATTCTTGACGATGCCTTCATTCTCCATATATAGTTGTGTTTAATAAAGGCTCCAAATGTCCACACAAATGAGTGTGGACCTTACTCATCTTATCAAAGCAGTAACAAGCACAGAAGCTATCACAAGGTATCTTGATACACATACTTCCCTGTTTTATTTCAATGTGAGCAAAGAAAACATTGATTATACAGTAACAATGATAAACACAGTCAGGACTATTGATTTACATCTCACACAAATGAGAACTGTAGCTGCAGTTCTCTTTTCAAGAAGCATTTTCAAGTGTTTTCACTGTAAAACCTGGTTGAGACCATAAACTGAAATATATAGCCACATCATATGCATTTACCTCATCATCCTCATTGAACAGAGATTTTAAGAGGCCCCAGTACTCTCGAAGCTGATCATTGGCCGAGAAGAATTTGCGTGTACTCTCATTCTGCAAAATGGACTCTTCAGACACCAGCTTCTACATATAGAGAAAAGAGAGGTTTTAGTCATTTGGTTTAAGAATGTTTTCATTATAGGAGAGCTTCCTGGATTGCCTTTCATATTTTCTCATTAACCTGTTCAGGGATGTTACAATACACCTCTGGGACAAGTGGGGCATGAACTCAGACCTCCTGGTTCAGAGGTGGGAACACTACCATTGACACAATTGAAATTACCATAAGAGCCGTTATATACATTTGAATGTAAATGAGTATGTGCAAGCAGATCACAACATAGTGGTGGACTTGTTCCAGCAGGTAAATATATCAGAACTTCTTTATTCAAACGTACTTTTTTTTAAGAATGCGGTCATGGGATGGTTGGGCCAGCATTTACTGCCCATCCTCTATTTGTCCTGTGGAAGGTGGTGGTGAGCCGCTTTCTTGAACCACAGCACTCCTTGCGATGTAACGTTGCCACAACAATGGATCATAGTCCCAAAATTACTTAAGGATATATCACATTTTTAAGAGAGACAGCTTGACTGGTTTTCAGAAAAAGGTCATAAAAGCCAGAGATCTTGGAGGATGCAACTCAGTGACTATCTGGAAAATTCATGTGTGGTTTACACTCAGCCCTGAGAAACAGCATGGAATGTTATACATTGAGGGGTGTCAAGGAATTTCAGAGAAACACTTCAAAGGAAGAGATACAAGGCAGAAAGCTGAACCATCACCTGAGAGTCAATAGTCCCAAACTGTGGGCACAATGTACGGTAAAAGGAGGCAGAATAAGTGAAAAAGATGTCTGTGCTTGCTGCTGCCAGGAATACACAAGACAAGTGGTTAAAAACCAAATGCACATCTAGTGCAAGTGTGCTAATCTAATGTTCTAATGTTACTGGGCTATAGATTACTGAGAAGGTTATAGTTGTTGGACATTACTGCCTTGGAGATTTGACATTTAAAATTTAGCTCCTAACTTCTGAAACCTTGCAGCAGAATCTCCTTTCTAGTCCGATCAAAGTCTTTGGTACTAACATGGATGACAACAACTGGATTCCTCCCCTCTCTCTCCAAGTTCCTCCCAAGCCCCAAGGAGATGTCCTTAACCCTGACTCCTGGCAGACAACACAGCCTTTGGGACTTGTGCTCACAGCCGTATAGAACAGTTTCTATCCCCTAATTATACGGTCCTCGACCACTTCTATATTCCTGTTTATCCCCCTGCACCACAGTATCATGATCAGTTTGGTCATCCTCCATGTAGTTCCTTCTCTCATCCACACAGCTTGCAAGAACCTTCTAACTGTTGGACAATTTCAGGGGCTGGAACTCCTCTAGGGCTATACCTCAGGTCCGTTAAACAGCTGATACCTGTCTCACGTGTAATCACACCCTCCTGTCTTTGATCATCATCTAAGTTTGAATTAACTAGTTTAAAAGGTGCTCCTGCCTCCTGGAGCAAAATGTCCAGGTAACTTTCCCTATCCTGATGTAGCATAATGTCTGTAATTCAGCCCAGATCTCCCCAACTTGCATCTGAAGATCTTTGAGATACAAATGCTTGCTACAGATGTGTCTAGTATAGACCACCTTTTTATCCAGCATTACCTGATCTGCCATCCCTATCATACTTTATTTAAGTTATTAACTAATGACTCGAGTATCTCTGCTCTTCACACTTGAATAATCCCCATTCTGAAAACTGTGTGTTTTTTGTAATGCACCAGTACCAAATATATATCTAACAAGCATTTGTAAGAAAGAGACTGACTGGCAACATGAATACCAACTGAAGATCTTAATTTTACTTACAAAACTGGAAATACTCACTGATCAGCTGCTTTCGATCAAGGATTGTAAAGGGAATTTGTGCACAGAGCCTAAAGAGATAGGAAAGGTCCTTAATGAATACTTTCCTTCAGTATTCACAACTGAGAGGGACCTAGTTGTAGAGGAGGACGTTGTGAAACAGGCAGGTAGGCTAGAGGAGGTTGATGTTAGTAAAGATGATGTGCTAGGAATTCTGAGGAAGTTGAAGATAGACAAGTCCCCCGGGCCTGATGGGATTTATCCAAGGATTCTATGGGAAGCGAGGGACGAGATCGCAGGGCCTTTGGCGATGATCTTTTTGTCCTCACTGTCCACGGGTATAGTGCCGGAAGATTGGAAAGAGGCAAACGTCATTCCCTTGTTCAAAAAAAGGGAATAGGGATAACCCTGGAAATTACAGGCCAGTTAGTTTTACATCAGTGGTGGGCAAATTATTGGAAAGTGCTCTGAGAGACAGGATTTATGATCACTTGAAAAGGCACAGTTTCATTCGTGATAGTCAGCATGAATTTGTGAGGGGTAGATCATGCCTCACAAACCTTATTGAATTCTTTGAAGAGGTGACCAAACACATGGATGAAGGTGGAGCAGTCGATGTGGTATACATGGATTTAAGTAAGGTGTTTGATAAGGTTCCCCATGGTAGGCTCATTCAGAAGGTAAGGAGGCATGGGATAGGGGGAAATGTGACAGATTGGATTCAGAATTGGCTGACCCTTAGAAGACAAAGGGTGGTAGTGGAAGGAAAATATTCAACATGGTGCTCAGTTACAAGTGGTGTACCACAAGGATCTGTCCTGGGTCCTCTCCTAATTGTGATTTTTGTAAATGATTTGGATGAAGGAGTGGAAGGGTGGATTAGCAAGTTCATGGATGATACGAAGGTGGGTCATGTTGTGGACAGTGCGGAGGGCTGTTCTAGGTTACAAAGGGACATTGATAGAATGCAGAGCTGGGCTGAGAAGTGGCAGGTGGAGTTTAACCCTGGAAAGTGTGAGATGATTCATTTTGGAAGGACAAACTTGAAAGCAGAATACAGGGTTAACGGAAAGATTCTTGGCAGGGTGGAGGAGGAGAGGGATCTTGGGGTTCATGTTCACAGTTCCCCGAGAGCTGCCACCCAAGTGGATAGAGTTGTTAAGAAGGCGTATGGTGTGTTAGCTTTCATTAATAGAGGGATTGAGTTCAAGAGTTGTGAAGTTATGCTCCAGCTATACAAAAGCCTGGTTTGGCCACATCTGGAGTATGGTGTCCAGTTCTGGTCTCCTCATTACAGGAAAGATGTGGAAGCGTTAGAAAAGGTGCAGAGGAGATTTACCAGGATGTTGCCTGGAATGGAGGGAAGGTCTTACGAGGAAAAGTTGAGAGAGCTAGGGCTTTGCTCTTTAGAATGACGAAAGATGAGGTGACTTGATACAGGTGTACAAAATGATCAGAGGTATACATAGAGTAGACAGCCAGAGACTTTTTCCTAGGGTGGAGGTAGCTTTTACGAGGGGACATAGTTTTAAAGTGAAAGGAGGTAGATATCGGGGAGACGTCAGAGGTAGGTTCTTTACTCAGAGAGTGGTAGGGGCATGGAATGCATCGCCGGAAAGGGTAGTGCAGTCGGCCTCATTAGGGGCATTTAAGCGGCTATTAGATAGGCATATGGATGATAGTATAAGGTAGCGGTGGAGGTTAGATAGACCTTAGGTTTAGGGTAAAAGTTCGGCACAACATCGTGGGCTGAAGGGCCTGTACTGTGCTGTACTGTTCTATGTTCTATTTGTTTAGCAACTGAATGCTTCTCACCTTCCTCTGAGACATTCAACTCTAGCTCTCTATTGCAAGTTGCCTCGCAAGTACTAAGTCGCACTCAGTTTGCTGTTTATTTCTGTATCCAAAACCAAGGGCCTAGGTCATTTATTGAGGCTCTATTTTTAGCTAGTTCTTAATTGTGCTGCTCTACCAATGGAACCCTTAAAAATAAACCTGCTCAAATCTCAACTATAGAATCTAAACTCCAAATTTCACTTTAATGCCAACTACAAAATAAATTAGGTTAAATTAGTCTTGAAGAATTAAAGATTTAGACACTTTCTAACCCAACAAATGAATGTACTCCAGGTTGTTGTGTCAGGGGATTCAGTGATCACATCACTAAATGTCATGGGGAAATGGTTAGGATCTCACTCATTGGAGATGGGCATTGCATACCACTTGTGTGGAGTGAATGTTGCTTGCCATGCATCAGCTCAAGCTTTAATGTTGCCCATCATGGACAAGGGCTGCTTCAGTATGTGAGGAGTTGTGAATTATGCTCAACATTGTGCAAACATCAGCAAAGTTTGTCCCCCCCCGCCTCCAACCCCCGATTGCTGTTGACTCCAGTTTTGCTCAAGCTCCTTTAGGGCTCCACACTCGGTTACATGCAGCCCGTTGTCAATATGGAATCACTCTCACCTTACCCCTGGAATTCAGCTCTTTCATCCATGTTTGGACAAAGTCTATAAAGAGAGCAGGATCCAAGTGGCCTTGGCAGAGCCCAAAGTGAACGTTAGTGAGCAGGATATTGCTGAGCAGGTACTGTTTCATGGCACTGTTAGACGACCCCTTCCATCACTTTGCTGATGGTCAAGAGTAGACTGGTGGGGTGGTAATTGGCAGGGCTGGATTGGTTCTGTTTTTCTGTGCACAGGACATACTTGGGTGGTTTTCCATATCACTAAACAGATGTCAGTGTTGTAATTATACCACAACAGCTTGCCCAGGAGAGCAGCTAGTTCTGGAGCACAAGTGACCTGTAGAAGCTCAGTTATTATGTATATTTAAAGGGAAGACTGACAGATTTCTAAATATCAGTGAGGTAAAGGAACATGGGAATAGTGTGAGAAAACATATTGATGTGGACGATCAACCATGGTCATACTCAATGGCAGGGCAGGTTCAACAGGCTGAACAGTCTATTTCTGTTCCTTTGTTGCTATAAGGAAAGCATTGGTATATCAAGACTATTCTAATAGAAAAGCTGTTCAAATCGGATCTTCTTCACTCTTCATCATACCAAATTCAATAATAATTATTGAATACATTTGGTTCTCTAACCTTTAAAAACCCATTTAGTTGACATTCAATGTCTTCTTTGAATTTGCTGTCAGTTATGTCAGGTTTGATTGATGGGAGCCTTGTTCCAACCAAAGAATTGAATGTCTGAAAAAGAAGAACAAAGGTTTTGGTGGAAGGACAGATCAGAACGTTATCTTTCTGATTCTACAAACTACATTCAACTGTGGTACAAACTGATTGAGTCAAAGTCGAGTCTCTGACAAAGGCAAGAATACCCGGACGCTTAAATTTTAGAATTCCAAATTACTCATTTGTTCACAATACAAAGGTTGGCGTGGGACCTAAACTCACAATGCCAGGGGAGATGCTAATGTAGTAGTAATGTTACTGGCCTAGTAATCCATAGACACAGGTTAATGCTCCAGGGATACAAGTTCAATTCTCAGCAAAGCAGCTCATGGGATTTAAACTCAATTAATAATTCTGGAATATTAAGAATATCTTAGCAATGATGACCATGAAACCATCATTGGTCAAAAAAAGAAACACCATCTGGTTTATTCATGTCCTTCAGGGAAGGAAATCTGCCCTCTGTCTGACCTGTTAAACATTGGACTCCAGACCAATGTGACTGGCACTTCACTGTACACTAGAATGGCCTGGCAAGCTGCTCTATTCAAGGGCAATTAGAGATGGGCAAAAATGCCAGCCTTACTGGCGACACACATATCCCATGAAAGCACCTCTTTTTTTAAATTTCCACTCATACTGCATGCCTAAATTTTCATCTTCACTACATTCAGTAGTAACCTGGCAGCAAGGACTGGCATCCATTGCAAGACTTGTTCATACTCTGTCCCATATGTATGGGAAATCAGTTCAAATAAATTATTACCATGTGCCAAAGAGAAAGATCTATCCTCATTAGCTTATTATCAGGGTGTAATCATGTTATACAGGTACTAACATTTGAGGTTAGTTTGAGGCAAAGTGACCACAGGACCTGATCCTCCTGGAATTCTGCCCCACTCTGAGATCACACACTGGTTGCACATTCAGACTGCAGTCACATAATAGCATTATGGATACTACTGAAGCTACAAGTTGCCAAAGTCCCAGAGGCTGCCCTCTCAGCTGAGAGATGGATGACTGGTCTTAAATTGCACCTGAGGGTCACCATGCCTCAGGCAAGGTGGAGGAGCTGGGGTCTTCATAGACCTGAGCTAACACGGGAATTGAACACATGCTATTGGTGTCACTCTGTATATCAAAACAACCAGCCAACCAACTGAGCTAATCAAGCCCTGTTTGGAAACCTTTTTGCAAAAGGCCCATTAATCCAGACTCTGCCTTCTGTGTGGCTATGCGTACTGATACATTATCCCCATGAGCTCCTGTCTTGTGTAATATCCCTTTATATGGCACAATACCAAATGCATTCTGAAAATCCAAATACGTGACATGGTTGAGGAAACCACCAGAATTCATGGCCTTACAGCTCTACAAGAAACCAGTGCTTTCAGGAGGGAGTGGGAAAAAGGGTAGCCAAGTGGGGGGAAAAAATATCGAACCAACACTCAAGAGGATTAAGCAATAAGGGTGAAAACTGCTTTAATACCCCATTCCAAAACAGCAAGTCAAATTTCTAGACTGGTCACACAGAGTTGTGGAGATTTATTGACCATGATTTTTCATTTATAGGACCTACCTTTTTTTTTGGAAAATTAAATGCTCACTTCTGTATTTTTGAAGCAAGAAGCTGGTTACCTTACTGAGCTCTTTCTGAAGGTTCTCAAATTCATGGTATTTTCTCTGAACAGACCAGCATTCCTCCGCAACTTCCAGATTTTCTACATCTATTATACAAGTTGGATTCTTTATTTCGTCCCAAAGTACCTGCAAAACATGTAACATTAGCATCTTAAACAGGGAAATTAAAAAGTGTGTCTTCTCTCATGGGGCAGGCTAGAGATTGGAGGCACAGTTTAAAAACGGCCACCTTTATTGTGAACACTGCCACCACATGGCGCAACATGTGCGCACAAAAATACACACAACACACACAAATCATCGTAGCCAGCTGAGGATGCACAAAGCTATTGGGTAGGGTGGGGGGGGAATGTGGTATGAAGGCCACAATCAGATTAGCCATATATTGAATAATGAAACAAGCAAAAAGAGCCGAGTGGCCTATTTCTGCTCCTGATTTGTAGGTTCTTACGTCCCTTGCTCCTGCTAAAAAATGTAGTCAGCCAGGGCGGTCACTCTTCAATCACATTAGTTAAGGGAAGATTTAGCTCAGTGTGATTTCTCAGCACAAATCGAATAACCTGCAGACACTCTATGTCTAGATCCATACTGATGAATAACCACACAAGTGATGTCCAAAGTAGTTAACTCCTTATCCAGCATGTATCAGTCAGCACCTCCCTTCAAACCTTTTAAACAGTATGGAACCATACAGTCAAATTATACAGTATCAGCCAGGAATATTTCCATTACAACAACAATTTGCAATCATATAGCACCATGAAGGTAATAAAACAATCTCAAAGCACTTTGTTTTAAAGAAGTCATATCAGACTCAAATCATCGATTCCATTTTTCTCTCTCTACAGATACTGCCAGACCTGTTGAGTTTGTCCAACACTTTCTACTCGTTTCAGATTTCCATCATCTGTAAAATTTTGCCTTTACCTCAAGGCGCTTCACAGGTCTGTGATCAAATACAGTTTGAAAACACAATCTAAACTACTTGAAGACCTTTTTGGAGCGGATTATCAAACACTTGGTCATAAAGGAATTCCTCAAGGCCTGCCTTCAAGAATGAAGAGAATTAGAGAAACTCATGTTTAGGAATGCAAATCTCAAACTTAGGCTCACAGCAGGTGAAGGCACTACCATCAATGGTGGAGCAACTAAATTCAGAGATATTGAAGAAGTCAGAACGAAAGAGAACTGATGTTTCAGAGACTGTCAGGCTGGAGGAGATTACAAAAAAATAGGGAGGAGCAAGGTCATGGAGGAATCTGAAAAGATAGATGAGAATTTCAAAATTAAGAATTGCTTAACCAGGAGCCAATGAGGGTCAGCAAACAGGGCGGTGATAGGAAATGAGACTTGGTGCAAATTTGGGCACAGGCAGCAGGTTTAAATGACTTCAGGATTTTTTTTAGAATTAGAATTAGAATCCCTACAGTGTGGAAACAGGCCCTTCGGCCCAACAAGTCCACACCGAACCTCAGAGCATCCCACCCAGATCCATCCCCCTATGACCCACCTAATATACACCCTCTACCTCCCTGAACACTACGGGCAATTTAGCATGGCCAATCCGCCTAACCTGCACATCTTTGGACTGTGGGAGGAAACCGGAGCACCCGGAGGAAACCCACGCAGACACGGGGAGAATGTGCAAACTCCACACAGACAGTCGCCCGAGGCTGGAATCGAACCCAGGTCCCTGGCGCTGTGAGGCAGCAGTGCTAACCACTGGAGGCTAATAGACAGGTGCTCAACCAGACATTGGAATCATCATGTTTGGAGGGAATGAAGGTATACATGAGGGATTCAGCAGCAGATAAACCAGGCAGGACAGAGCCAGGCAATGTTATGGAGGTGGAAGTAAGTGGTCATCACTATGATGGAGATTTATAATAAGAAGCCCACTGCAAAGTCAGATAGGACTCCAAAGTTGCAACCAGTCTGGTTCAACCTCAGAGAGCTGCCAAGGAAGGGGATGAAATAACTCCACAGAGGCTGGTATCCCATCACCAAGTCACCCTTGACTCTGGTACTGCCTCAGTATCTCTAACACTCCTCTTTTTATCTGTCAACCAGCTCTCATTGATTGGACCAGATTAACAGCCCCAATCAGGGGACTCATATTCTATAAGTTCCAAATGGTTATAGTCAATGCCTAGCGAAAAATAAAATTATAACAGGAATCAAAAACGTGATTCTATAAGGCTTTTATTTAACAGGATATTCTAAAAGAAAAGTGAATTCAGACAATCCAGCCACTTCTTAGTCAATCTGTGAAAACAGCACAAGTTCACAATCTCACTGAGATGGGTCTGTAAGTTGGCAAAAGTGAGAAATATTAAAATTTGCACTAATGGAATAGGGGGCAAGTTGTTGCACTGAAGCCTGGATTATCAACAGCAGAACTTTTCTACGCAGTATTGTATTTCATATTAAAGGACCTAATGTGGGAGACTGCTCCATTCCACAGCTCCGAGCCATTACCTTTGAGGGTAGAGGATAGAAGATTTTAGAAAATGAAAGTGATTGTTCTGGTTTAAATTGTAATATTTAAAAAAACATTAAAACAAAACCAAACAACCACAACACAGCCTTCAAGAATGACGTGTACTTTAAGAAGCTAATTTACAACATACCTTTGAAATAGTGATCTTGCAGTTTCTTAGTGATGTTTCTTCATTTTCAGAGGGAATAAGGCTGTTTTCTTTCAGCCATTCAAGCATCTAAGTTTAAAATATACAGCACATAAAACATTTATCTAAGACATCACTGGCATAAACATAAACCCTTTTTGATTTTACTGCTGGCAGATCCTTTGGTTTGGATAAAGATTTTAAAAAAAACTATTACTGGCAAGAAAAGCTCATCACACAATGGCCAAGATGAAATTAACCAGTGCAAGTTCAATGGGGAATCTGGGTGGCCTACAAAGAGCCAACAAACTGTGCACATCACCATTACAGCAAGGAGCTGAGCTCCACTATCATGAGGATATAAAATTGATAAGCCCACCCCAGGAAGGCAGTGGACTGGAACCAAGATTTCCTGGGATCCTTTCTAAGTCTTTTAGTTACTCTCAATAACTGGATGCAAGATTGATAGGTAGACCCAGAAAGGTACAGGAATTTACCTTAATTAGGGACTGGGAGCACACTAAAACCAAGAATGGAATTTCTTTATTTCCAATATTCACCATTATGGGAAGCCAGTCCCGATTATTCCTCACACATTTCATCTAGCTGCCAAACTGAACTTGGTTCAATAGTGGTGTGTTACAGTTCACTCTGGGAGTCTGATTTGCTGTGGCAACATATACCCTTACATAGTTTTGTGGCCCAGAGCCGCAGATAGTAATTTGAGAAGTGCTAATATTTTTTCAATCACATGGCTGACTGGGAATCTCTCCCGCTCTCACACTGGCATGTATTGGAAGGATTTTGGTTAGGCCACAGCTGGAGTGCTGCATGCAGTTCTGGGCATTGCACTGCAGGGGTTGCAGAGGAGGTTCACCAAGATGCTGCCTGGGATGGAGCAGTTTATTTGAGAGAGGCTGGATAAATAGGGTTGTTTTCTTCAGAGCAGAGAAGTCTGAGAGGAGGCTTAAAAAACACGTATAAGATTCTGAGGGGCATGAACAGGATGGATAGGAAGCAGCTGTTCTCCTTAGTCAAAGGGTCAATAACTAGGGGGTATAATATTAAGGGGACATGTCTTGTTTTGTATGATTTTAGGACCATAATGAATCCAGTAGCATTTAGTGGGTTTTTTGCACCTTAAATACGTGAGTAGGAACACATCATCACCAAGTTTTGTAGAACATTAGTTGTTGGTGGCATCAAATAAGACCAGGCCTTCTTGAAAAATGCCCAGAATTAATCCATAAGTGTCCTACAATTTGAAGAATCCTTACTCAAAATAAACCTTGTTCCTGGCTAAAACAGGTTAAGAAAAACTTCCTTTCCAAAGTAATACAGGAGACAATTGAGGCCATTCCAATATAGTTACACCCCTCTTAGAAATATCTTGCAGGAGAAAAAACATAATTTAGAAATACTTTAAAAATCTAAAGGGGAATAAAAAGTTTTCATCGTGTACCACCAATGTTAAACTAGACATTGACACACCGACTATAGATTACTCTTAAAGGAATTTCCCACAGACCTCATCATGAAATTTGAAACCGTCTTCTTCAGCAGAATCGTCAATACTGTCTTCCAAATTGGACACATTCGCAGGAAACGATCTAAAGTTCTGGTCAACATCTTCATGTTCAGAACAAGACTGTCCATCAACTTCATCTGTGTAGCCAAATGACGACCTGGTTTCAGTACTCTTCTTTCTAACTCTCTCAAATATTTTTAAGAACTTTTGTACTCGTTTCAATGCTTGAATGGAACAAACACTCCAATCAAAATAAAACAATAAAATCACTGAACAATTCCAAAATGTGACAAAGTCATCAGAACCTCCTTCTCAGGAGCATTGTATACAGTCCCACTGAATTTGAACTGACTCATGAAAGCAAAAAAAAATGAACCATGATTTCCATTATCCTGAAGAGCATGGAGAAGATGAAAATTAAGTGAGTGCAGTAAAGTTTGTGTGCATTGAGAAAATAAAATCTATAGGAAATTGATATAACAGAAGCATCGTGACAGCATGTTTAGGGTGGAAAAGTAACAGAGAAGTTCATTGAGTTAGAGAACATTGATCTTCTGATTTCAAGACATTCCAGCATTCAAAAGGGCAAGACATTGTAAACTAGATAACCACAAACACAGGTTTTGTATAAAGTCATCTGATGGTGACTTACTTATGTTGGGTGTCAGTTAGATCAGTTGGCTGGACAGCTGGTTTGCAATGAAGAATGACATCAACAGTGTTGGTTCCATTCTCATACTAGCTGAGGTTGCGACAGAGTCAGAGATGTTCAGGACAGAAACAGACCCTTCTGTCCAACTCATCCATGCCGACCAGATATTCTAAATTAATCTAGTCCTGTTTGCCAGTATTTGGCCCATTTCTCTCTAAACCCTTTCTATTCATATACGCATCCAGATGCCTTTTAAATGTTGTCATTGTACTAGCCTCCACCACTTCCTCTGGCAGCTCCTTCCATACACACACCACCCTCCAGGTGAAAAAGTTGCCCCTTAGGTCGCTTTTAAATCTTTCTCTTCTCACTTTAAACCTATGCCCTCTAATTTTGGACTCCCCCCTTGGGGAAAAGACCTTGACTATTTACCCTATCCATGCCCCTCATGATTTTATAAACCCCTACAAAGTCACCCCTCAGTCTCCGACGCTCCAGGTAAAATAGCCCCAGCCTATTCAACATCTCCCTATAGCTCAAACCCTCCAACCCTGGCAACATCCTTGTAAATCTTTTCTGCACCCTTTCACTTTTAATAACATCTTTCCTGTAGCAGAGAGACCAGAATTGAACCACAGAGGTCCCATCTTCTCAACTCCACCCCTTGCCTGAGGTGTGGTGAAGCTCAGGTTGAATTCCTCACCAGTTGTCTCTCTATTCTCTGGGTCTATGGTAACTTATACATGTTTGTGTGTTCATTAAGCAGCAACTTGTCAAAGATTTGGAGATACCTAAAGTGATGTCAAATGTCCTACAAGGTGTACAGCAGGACAAAGCTGTAAAAAGCAATTGACAAAGCAGTGTCGTAGGAGAATTACTCACCTTTTTTGCTCCATTTCTTTTTCTTGTTTGCCTTAGGAATACTACAATTTGTGCAAGAACAGAACAATAAAATTTCAGCTTCACACATAAGGGATACACAGGCACAATAATAATTCAACGCATCTTATGTCTGATACATAAAAATAAATTCTGTGGCATTATTCTGAAGAACAGCAATGGAGTTCTCTTTGCAGTCTTGGCCAGTATTCAACAATCACGACTAAAAACAAACTGTTGAACTTCCTACATTACAACATATCTACACTTCAAAAATACCTAATTTGCACTGTGGTGGCTTGTAACTTCATGTTTTGATAGATGCTACATAAATGCAAGTGTTTTCTTCTAACCATCTCTCTCCACCATTGGCTAAATGAGTTTATCCAATCAGTGGAAGGGTGAAGCACAAAATCCCAATCCCCAAGCTGTGTGGAATTATCTGATCCAGTTAGCTACAACCGGCCTCACTAGTCCTACACTAAGGAAGCAAAACTAGCTGCCAAGGATAATCCCTCCTGATTTTTATCCAGAAATTCTGGCAGGTGCATGTGCATGAATGTCAGATAAGGACTGTTTTGGACCCACCTACAAACCCTTCTCCAATCCTAGGGTCTGTTGACTTTCATGGGGGCCTAATTTTAAACCTTGCAACCGGGATCAGAGTTCAAAGACGAATGGGGTCAGAGTACAATGAGGCCTCACACAAAAATAATTTTTATTCTAGCAGGATGAAAGGTAGAAAGTGCATCATGCATTCCAAAAGTGCTACTCACTTGATTTCATTTTTTGTGCCCATTTTTGGGGAAGGGTTTTTAACGTCTTCAACTTCTTTAGTTTCATCTGAATCTTTATCCAAAAATTTGATCAATGTCTGATTGATAAAATCCACATCACAGACCGTGTTTATCACTTCCTCTAAAACTGTGCAGTTGGGAAATATGTTGGAGTAAAAAAAATTAATTTGACAATGAATGTTTCTTTTCTCATGGCTTGGGTTGCATCATAGCAATATTCTTTTAAATATAATAATGCCTTATATGCATACACTATTAGTTACCATGCACATCAGTCTGAACTAGGCTGACTCATGCTGCAGTGCAGTTCTATGGGCACTGCTTACGTTCTTATCTTGACTATTGCCTTGCTAAGTAATTTAGGACACTCACAGCATGTTACGGCTGCAAGGCTGTCTTTCTCGGCATGAGTCACCTTCCGGCTGACTTCAGCTTATCCAGCCACACATCTCTCAATTCAATATCTAAACTCAGCACTAGTTAGGGAGATTGGGTGTTGAAGTCAGCAAAATCACAGGTATTCCATTCCAGGAAACTGCCATGGAATTTCAATCTTGCGCCTTCCTTCAACACCACAACGCATTATATTAAAAAAAATTCTGACAAAATCACAGCGTTAAAAGATGCACAACAATTTTTATTGTCAACCAATGCCGGTAGTAATATTTAGCTTGTCCCATTCTGCAGTATATTCAGTGAATGGCCTGTATGCTATAGCTGCAGGTGGACCAGAAAGCAAGGCTCCAAATTTTCGGGATAGAGCAGGGTTGCATGTGGCATAAACCAGCCAGTGACACATAAACCAGTCTCTTGCAGCTAAGGGATCAGGATGCAATGTTTGCATGTTTTGTCACAGATCCAAGCCTCTCATTGCCAGCATCCTCCCAGAGCCATGATTGGCATGAAGTGAATTATTTTCTCTCTGAGCATCGTTAGCCTATACAATTGTCTTTCTAAGAGAGCAGTACGGGGCTGGATCATTCAATTTATTCAAGGCTGAATTAGAGTTTTACTCAATTAGGGAGTCAGGGGACATGGGGGTCAGGCAAGTGAGACCACAATCAGGTCAGACCTGACCTTATTTAATGGAGGAGCAGGTTCAAGAGCTCGAGTGACCTACTCCTGCTCCTAAATTCCTGTGGTTTTGTGCTCTAATAGATTCCAGGAAATGCAGTGCATCGGACTGAATAAGTGCTAGCATCTCCACCTTTTGATAAGTGGATCTCTTAAAACCAACAACACAACAACCTCACAGTACACCAACTAGATTCACTAAGGCTGATTCCAGAGAGGTTCTGGCCTGGAATCTTCAAGCCGCCAATCCAATTGGTTTACTTTTAGCTCAAGCAAGATAAGCATGTCGAGAGTTAACGAAGCATAATAAGAAGCTTCTTGAAGAAGAAACACAACGCAGTTTGTTGCATTAAAATAAAAGAACAAAAGATGCTGGAAATCTGAAACAAAATTTTTTGGAGAAACTCAGCAGGTCTGGCAACATCTGTGGAGAGAAAGCAGTGTTAATGTTTTGAGTCCAATGACCCTTCTTCAGAACTGAAATTAGAGGCATAGAGTCATATAGCACAGAAACAGACCCTTCCCTCCAACCAGTCCATGCTGACCATAATCCCAAACTAAACTATTTCCACCTGCCTGCACTTTGCCCATATCCCTTCAAACATTTTTTAATTCATATACTTATCCAAATGTCTTTTAAACAATGTTAACTGTATCTGCATTCGCCACTTCGTCTGGCAATTCATTCCACACAATAACCACTCTGAGTTAAAAAAAAAGTTCCCCCTCATGTCTTTTTTAAATTTTTCTCCTCTCATCCTAAAAATATGCCCCCTAAGTCTTGAAATCCCCAACCCTAGGGAAAAGACACCTGCCATTCACCTTATCTATAATCCTCATATTTCTATAAACTTCTATAAGGTCACCCTCAACCTCCTATACTCCAGTGAAAAAAGTCCCAGCCTATTCAGTCTCTCCTTATAACTCAAATGCTCTATTCCTGGCAACATCCTGGTAAAGCTTTTCTGAACCCTCCCTAGCTTAATAATATCCTTCTTATAACAGGGCGAGCGGAACTTGGCGCAGTATTTCAGAAGGGGCCTCACTAATGTCCTCTATAACCTCAACACCTATACTCAAAGGCCTGAGCAATGAAGACAAACATGTTAAATGCCTTCTTAACCACCCTGTCTACAGTGAAGCAAACTTCAAATAATTATGTACATGAACCCCTAGGCCTCTCTGTTATATAGCACTACCCAAGGCCCTACATTTAATTGTATAAGTCCTTCTCTTTTTGTTTTACCAAAATGCAACACGTTGCATTTATTCAAATTAAACTCCATCTAGCACTCTTCAGCCCATCGACCCAATTGATCAAGCTAGGGAAAGGTGGTATTTATGGTTTGTAAAAGTAGATGAAAATGGGTTGGCTGTGCAAGCCACTTACATATGGTCTTCTTATCAGCTTTTCTTTCTGCTGAGCATAATATTGTCCATCCCTTAGTCTCTTGAACTGTCAGTCTCTCACTCCTGTCCATCCTCCCTATCCTCTCACTCCTTTCTCCCCACCCAGACCCCCTGTCTTTGGCATAAATACCAACTTTTCCTCACAGTCATCAGTTCTGAAGGGTCACCGGACTCCAAATGTTGATTCTGCTTTCTTTCCTCAGATGCTGCCTGAGTTTCTCCAGCAATTTGTTTTTTGCTAGAGTTTATTGTATTGTGGATAAACCAAAACAAAAAATGACTACTTTAAGATTTTCGAAGATGGCCAAAAAAACCTCAAATTTCTGAAGGTGACCAAGTATCATACTGGAATCTACAACTTTAACCAAAATCTCTGATTAGGTCAAAGGACAAATGATAAAATGCATTTATTTAGTACCTTCAACACAGATCCAATGAGCCAATGTAAGTCACCAAACACAGGGATAGTAGCCAAACAGGAGTTAGGATAAGGGAAACAAATATTTTGGATGAGCCAACATTTACAGGGGCAGAAGACAACACAGTAACGTACATTTCCACACAGCACATTCACAAGACCCTCACTTTAAAATTTCTTTCATGTTTTAGCACAGCCAGTGCTGGTACCTGCCTTTCAGTGCAACAACCTCCTTCAGTACTTGTTGGTAAGTATTTAATTTCCATAATGAATCCGGAAGGAGATTGCCTATCAGGGTTTCTGCAGCCTCCCTCAGAAAAGACACCTCTTCTTGTCGAGTTTGGAACATCTTCCCTCTACAACCAGACACATTGGTGAGTTTTCTTGTAAAGAAGGATGTTTTACTTTGTAGCATTCCAAATTTAAAATCTTTAAATTACTTACGTTGAGCAAGTGATTTAATACCCACTGGTAAATGTAACATTCAGTCTACGTCATGTTTCAACATTGAGATTTCAGTGGCTCGATATATTAAAATCCTGTGGCATTTTTCTGAAGTGACCCAACAAACTGCCACTTCTGTCTCTGGAAGTGATAATTCAGCTGTTCTCACCCACAGGATTGCAGAGACCCACAACTGTGATCAGTACTCCAGGAGTAGTTTAAAAAAGATAATCAGCCAAGATTTCTGCTCAAGGTCTCTTTCTGGCAAATACTGATTGAAATTAAGGACTACTGACTGAGGGTAGTCCACTGGTCAAGCTACCACATTGCAATTGCTGGGGAATAGTGCTCCGTTACCAGTTACACTTTCCACCTTACAAGGAGCACTGAAGCATTGAGGGAACATAATGTACCAAAACTATTCACTTAATGCCAGGTTCATGCTAAGGGTGAAGATTGTGCTGTCATGGCAATTTCACTGGATTAATAATCCAGAAGCCTATAATAATGCTCTAGGATATGGATTCAAATCTGACCACTAAACCTGAAGGGATTCAAGATGCAATAAAATCTGGAATTAAAATATCCGCAAATAAGGTTGACCATAAAGTTGTCACTGATTGTTGTAAAAATGCATCTGCTTGACTAATGCCTTTAAGGAAGGAAACCTGCTGTCCTTACCTGGTCTGTGACTCCAGGACCACACCAATGTTGCTGACTCTTACTTGCCCTCTGAAGTGACCAATTGGGCAATTAGGAATGGGCAACAACACCAAATCCCATAAAAGATTATTAAAAATTCTTAGCTATCCATTCAACAACAAGATGCAATTTCTAATCCTGAACCAACACCTGTTCGCAAAGAACAAGCATTTCTTGTATTGTCATGATCTGCAAATAGGATTTAGCACAATGTGTGGTGGCAGTGGAGTCCGAATACAGCGTTGATTTATTTCACCAGATAGGGAACCAGGAATTAGAATCATAGAATCCCTACAGTGCAGAAAGGGACCATTCAGCCTATTGAGTCTGCACCGACCCTCTGAAGAGCATCCCATCACTGAAACCCCTCACTTTATCCTTGTAACCCTGCATTTACCATGACTAACTCACCTAGCCTGCATATCCGACACTATAGGCAATTTAGCACAGCCAATCCACCTAAGCTGCACATCCTTGGACTGTGGGAGGAAACCAAAGCATCCAGCAGAACCGACACAAACACGGGGAGAATGTGTAAACTCCACACAGACAGCTGCCTCTCAATCAAACTCTGTTGTCAATCATACCTTGACTCCTAAAGGAAAGTGAACTCGTTCAATGTTTAAGAGACTTTTCATTCTCCACTTGCTACACAGACTGAGAAATCTAGTACAAAAACACTAATTGCTGGAGAAACTCAGCAGATATTGGCAGTAGCTGTCAAGAGAGAAACAGAGTTAATGTTTTGGGTCCAGTGACTCTTCTTCTGGGTTTCATTTTGTGGTTAAAAGGACTGGGTGGGAAGAGAGATTTTTTTTCCTGTTTTAGGCAGTGACTTGTTACGACTCAGACTGCACGATCCGGAAAGGGAGAAGAAACTGATTTGTGATGATACTATGGCTTTAAAGAGGTGCATTGTCATTTCTTTTAAATGGACAGCCATCTGCTCAAAGCCAATGAAATAAACAGCTTGAGAGGTCTTGGGGTTTTTTATTTGAAGAAGTTGGAACAATAGAAGTAGCCTGAATGGGTGGGTTCAAGCTCCCACAGAGCCCGAATTTTTAGTTTTAGCTTTCAGCAGTTGTTGGGGTCTTGAAGTTTTGTGTGAAAGCTCTCGTTCCTCTCTCTGTTACAGGTAACAGCTGGGGTTCCCTTCCTAATGCTAGGAATTGCATGTAAGACAATCTATTTTACTAGTTAAGTCAATTATTTTCTTTTGCTTTTCTGTTGTCTGTATTTTAACAGTAGTGTAAAAATAAAGTGTGTTTTACTTAAAGTCAAGTAGTTTGACCAATCAAATTACATCTGGAAAGCCATGTCTTACACTTACTTTTAAAATAAAAAGTTAGGGTCTACGCTATCTTCTTAATATATTTTAAGGGGTTTGGTCCATAGCACATGCAGTAGTAACTCACAAAAGAAATTTAAATACTTACATAATCCTTATTCCCTTGGCAAATTTTTGGAAGAATTGTCTGATTAATCTCATTCCTCTGTTCCTCCCTCCCACCCCACCCCCACAACCCTACACAGCTTTTCTCTTTAAATACATTTCTGCTACCCTTGAACAATTTTGACTCAATTCGCCTCCACTACCCACAGAGGCAGAACATCTGAATTTGAAATGAAAAATATTGTAAGACTGCAACAAAACAGCACTTGAGTGTGATCTAAACGGTCACGCAAACAGCAGGTAAAAAGGTATGATAGCCAAATAGCCTTCTCCTGCACGGTGTTAGCTGAAGATGGAAACACAGGGTGAATATGTTTCTTCCAATAGTGCCAAAGGATTTCCTAACATCCATCGACACACCTGGAACAGGCAGGCAGAGCCTCAGTAGAATATCTCACTCACATACTAGAATCTCAGATAGTCCTTCACTTCTTCAGTGCAGCAGTATAGAATCGGTTCTAATTATGAGCTTCAGTCCTGGAGCGTGGCTTGCTTTCATGGCCACAGACACGTGCATCACCAAATTAGCTAACTAGTTCCATAATGAACCAGATAAGCAGTCAGGTGAACACAAGGAACTAGTTACCGAAGCATTGCTACTTTTCCTGCCTCTATACTCAGAAAATTAAACATCCATAGCCTGGGCTTCAAATTCAGTTGAAACGTTGTTAGCTTTTCACTTCTTGTGTGATTTCTTTTTGCACATGAGTCAGGAAAACTAAAACCAGCTTCTGAATGTATGCAATAGTTGGCAATTGTTGATTCAAACACATGCCAGAACTTGCATCAAACTCTTGTAAAAACGTTAATACTTAGAGTAAAACTGAGTTGGATACACAGCAAGGACCGCAGTTCTTGAAGTTGTTGGCAATAAGGTGTAGCTCACATTAGTAGTCACAAAGGAGCCACTTTATATAAAATGGATGCACAAACTGGTGGAGTTCTTTCCCATTATGGTATTCAAACCTCTTCTTTTTGCCAACTTCACTTCTTAGGATTAAAACATATCACCTCAGATTAGATTTCTCAATTCAAGAGTTGGCAGCACTTCAGGCACACATGAAACATACTTAAAAAATTTCTAAAATCACACAGGGCTGGGGGAAGGGTTCTGAGATTCAGAGACATAGGAGGAGCTTCAAAAGTATAGATAAGTAATACAGAAAACATACCAGTTTCAGCAGACTAACAGAAAAATTTACTAAGCTGTCGGAAACATGGCGGATTTGAACTCACTAATACAGAGACAGGTCAGTTGCAATGTCACATGGTGATCTTAATCGCAGGAAGTAGCATTTCACCAGATGTAATAACTTGCTGCAGCTCAGAACATTTGGGTAGAAAAGCAGACATTTTACATGAGAATAAAATAAGAATAAAAGAGAATAAAATAAGAGTTTCTCCTGAAGTAGGGAGAGGAAGGTCAACCAAGGATGTTGCTCTTGGGTTAAACACAACATGGCATGGTGGCTCAGAGGTTACCAGTGTTGCCTCACAGCGCCAGGGACCCGGATTTGATTCCAACCTCGGGCGACCATCTGTGTGGAATTTGCACATTTCTCCCTTGTGTCTGCGTGGGTTTCCGCTGGGCACTCCAGTTTCCTCTCAGTCCAAAGATGTGCAGGTTAGGTGGATTGGCCATGCTAAACTGCCCATAGTGTTCAGGGATGTGTAGATTAGGTGGGTTATAGGGGATGGGTCTGGGTGGGATGCTCGGAGGATCAGTGTGGACTCGTTGGGCCGAAGGGCCTGTTTCCATATTGTAGGGATTCTATGATTCTATGATAATACACTTGTTCAGTTATGTTGTTCTCTGTGTATAGTTAGCCTGTCTGAAGGCCTTTGTGACTATGAGTAATACTGGTCTGGATAAGTAGCAGACACTAATGGACTTATACCTCAGTAACGTTCAAAGGGGGCAACATTTGAAATTTTTACCAGCATGTCCCAACAGTCAGGGAAGGTTTGCAAATAGCAATGTTGGCCAATACTGACTGATAGCTCACTCTACCAACCAGCCACGATCGGTGTGCTGTTCATGACTCATGTTTATATTTACTGTACATAGCACATGACTGGGCAGCATTTATTGTCCATCTCTAATTGCCCAGTTCAGAGTCAACCACATTGCTGTGGGTCTGGAGTCACATGTAGGCCAGACCAAGTAAGGATGGCAGTTTCCTTCCCTAAAGGACATTGGTGAACCAGTTGGGTTTTTCTGACAATCGACAATGGATTCATAGTCATCATTATATTCTTAATTCCAGATTTTTTTTTTATTGAATTCAAATTCCACCATCGAACCCAGATCCCTAGGTCTCTTCATTAACAGTCCAGTAATAATACCACTAGGCAACTGCCTCCCCTCAGCATCTGCACAGCAACTCTTCACGGCACAAAGCATCTTGTTGCTTTATGGAAAAGAACATGGGCAAAAAGTTACATTTTGATAGAAGCTTTTGAAGGACAAGAAAGAAAGAGAATGAAGAGGTTTAGATAGACTACTGTAAAATGAAGAAGCCGAATACTAGATCATGGGTGAGTCAAAACTCCCACAGGGTAAGAGTTCTGAATACAGGGTGGAGACAGTACTGAGGAAAATCAAACTTCGAGGTGGAAATAGCATAAATAAGGGTTCAATTGGTACACAATGCTAATGTTGCAAATGCTATGTCAATTGTCGACACATGCACATTCCAGTTGTAGGTAACAGCTGCTGATACTAAGTGGCATCTCCAGTTTCTTTGCCAGCTGTACAATTACTCGATTATATGTCTATCTCAATTATATGTTAATTGTCACCTTGGGGGATAAATATCATGATTAAAGCTAAGCTCAGCTAGAGATCTAGCAGGTCAATTGTTGACTCAATGAAAGAAAATGGATCATCCCAGTGCATGAATCCAAATGGTTTACCATGAGTCTGTTGCTGGTTTGGAAGTCTCTGCATATCAGAACCTGTAGACTTTAAGGTAAGAGGGGAAAGATTTAAGAGGAACTGGAGGGGCAACTTTTTCCTCACACATCGTAGAGCATGTTTGGAATGAACTGCCAGAGGAAGTGGTGGAGGCTGGTATCTGGATGGGCACATGACTAGGACCAGTTTAGAGGGATATGGGCTAAATGCTGGCAAATGGGACTAGATCAGTTTAGGATATCTGGTTGGGAGAGACGCATTGGACCGAAGGGTCAATTCCATGCTATATAACTCTATGACTTAGCCCAATATTAAATCGGTTGTAAAATCAGTTCTAGACTGACAATTCAGTAAATCCAGAGATGAAAGCGAAATGCAAAAGGTTGTTTCGAATTCAAGCATGAAAACATTTAAGTAAGGTGTTTATATTCACCATGAGTCAACTTCCACTCATAAGTTTCTCTAGAATTCCCTTTTGCCTTATATTTATGGAGTCCAATTGCAGCAACTCTAACAGGTGGAGATATCTTCGCCACATTTACCATAATTGAACATTTTCACAACCTTAAAGACCTTTAACAGGTCACTCCCTCATTCTCCCATTTTCTAAAGGAAATCGTCCCAGAATGTTCAATGTTCAAGGGTGTCTGATCCTTATTATAATGGCTCTGACCTTCCGATAATCAATCCAAATGACATTAGGAACAAAGGGGCCTGCTGATCAACTTTACCGCCAACCACCCCACCTCCATCTGCTATCATTATCCTCTGACCTAAGAGCCAGCAATGATCCTTCGGTTTGGGTGGCTGACATACAAGTAGTAGCCGTAGCCACCCCACTCCCAGCAGTTGCCATCCAGAGATGCCAGGTCAGCAGCTTTCAGTGGGTAGAATGTCTGCAGCCAGGGCCTTTGATCCCTTGAGAAGGAGCACTTGACAATGATCGAGTGGAACAAAAGGGGGCAAGTCTTCCTGAAAAGAGACAATGCAAGGCTCTAGCTGACGACCAAGATCTCCTTTGCCTCCAAGATTCCATTCAAAGTTCCCATTCCTACATCAATCCGGAAAAGCACCCCTATTTTGAGCTATATTTTGTTTTTACAAGTAACATTGGTCTTTTCATTGAAAAGCAAGCTAACCACACCATTATGAAAACCGGCCGGATTGACGGATGTGGTAATTGGAGGGTGGGCTCACAAAAAGAAGTTTAAACTTGCATTGGTCAAGTAAGGCTTGTTAAAGGGGCCAGGCCCAAGATGATGGCTGTCATGTTGTTTATATTAGTATGCAGTAAGAGTCCTTGGCCATTGGTCTTGGATCATGGGACTTTCCTTCAAGGCCTGGAAAATTGCAAAGTTTTGCACATTTTTTCATAGCATTATTAGCTCTGTTAACTTATGCATGATTGAAAGGTAAACGCATGAAGATTAGAGGGCAGAAATGCTGTCTCACCCATTTAGAAACATTGTCAAGAGAAGGCTTATCTCCTGAAAAACTCTAGCCAATCTCAAACTAAGAAATTCATTTCCAAAGGTGACACTTTACCACCTTGAGGATGAAGAACAAACACAAATGGTTAGTAGGGATAAAATTCTAATGGATTTTGCTGGTGTCTAGGTGATATTCCTATTTCAGCTGGAGTCCCGTTTTTCACCACTGAATTTTCCCTTTTAAAAAACACACACAATACCTCTCCTTTCTCTTCTTGGCAGTATGCAAATGGTTGGTAAGTCTTCGAATCAATTCGATTTCTATTCTGGTGAGGTCCAGATTCAGAATCTTTGAGACTGCATGATCTACAGCCAAGTTAAACTCATGGAGCAGGACCTGGTAGAGTGGCTGATCAGTTCGGGGTTCAGGTGGATTGTACCATAACAAGATGAACTGTGAGTAACTGCATTCAAACACTAAAAGACACAACAATTTCAATGAGAAAAGAAGATCTGTAGAAATGCTTGTACAAATCATCCTTTTTAAACAAAACAACAGTTGTTAAGTTTCTGAGTGAAAATTCATGTAAAACATTAGCTTGGCAGATCCACACCTCAGAAAATTACATATCCCTAGGCTCACCATGAGAGGTGCCAATGGGAGAACCATTAGTAGGCACTAAAAGAAAACCAAATAAGTTTGGACATTGCAAAAACAAAATACATTTGCATGTGTTTAAATGTAGCACCAGTTTACAGGACCAGCATGCAATAGACCTCCTGATTTTGGTTGAACAGGTAATTGTGATGTATCAAACTAACTACAAATAGAGGGATGCATCATGTTTTACAGAATCCCAGAAGTGTTAATGGTATAGGAAGGGACCATTCAAGCTCATTATGTCTGCACCAGGTCTCCAAATGATCATTGCCCAGTGTCAATCTCCTGTCTTTTCCCCATACCTTTGCATATTATTTTTATCCAAATCATCCATTACACTTTTGAATGCCTCAATCAAACCTGCCCCCACCACATTTCCAGGCAGTGCCTTCCTTACCCGAACGACATGCTGTATTAAGTTTTCTCCTCAGCTTTCCCAATTGAGGTTCTGATAGGGATAAGCATCTGGTGCATTCTAGTGTCTCAAAGCCTTGGTCTTGTGGGATTGTGCATATTTTACTTCTATTCAGTCAAGAGATGAGGGTGTCCCAAGTTAGGCCAGCATTTATGGTCCATCCCTGAGGCCAGTTAAGAGTTAACCACATTGTTGTGGGTCTGGAGTCACATGTAGGCCAAACCTATGGCAGTTTCCTTCCCTAAAGGACATTATTGAACCAGATGGGTTTTTCCAACAATTGGCAATGAATTCATGGTCATCACTAGACTCTTAATTCCAGATTTTTTTCTTAATTGAATTCAAATTCCACCATCTGCCATGGCAGGAATCGAACCTAGGTCACCAGAACATTAGTTCTGAGGAAGAGTCACTGGACCTGAAACGTTAACTCTTGATTTCTCTTCACAGTTGCTGTCAGACCTGCTGAGCTTTTCCAGCAATTTCTGTTTTTGTTTCTGATTTACAGCAGCTGCAGTTCTTTCAGTTTCCCCAGAACATTACTTGGGTCTCTGGATTAACAGTCTAGTGATAATACCACTAGGCCATCACCTCCCATATCATCATCATTCACACTAATTGACAGAAAGTCACTAGCTACTGACACACAAATGGAAAACCTCAGCCCATGAATGGCTTAATTTGAAATCTTTCACTGCTCTCAAGTTGGCCATTTAAAAAAACCCACAAAAATATTAAGGGCCAGTGATTCCAAAGCAATGAAGACATGATTAAATGGTTCCGGGTTTACTGTGGCCAGCACACACAAAAACAATGACCTAAATTCAGAAATGTTGAATATTTACCTTTCCTGAGGGACTGTCGAAGGGCTGGATCAAGCACTCTCCCATCAATTGCATCCACATGATCATGAGGTTGGTTTACTTCCTGTGTAAAAATTAGATACAACGTTACTGTCCCATGGTACACATTATTTGATTAGGAGTGATTGCCATTTGCTGGGTCCATCAGAAGATTATGCCTTGCACCACATATGTACTAAGGCACAAAGAATATCCCCTATAAGACTTAGTAATCTGGGAACTGATGGTAACTTCCACTCAAAAGTATTTCAAGACTTCCTGGATTGCTTATTCAATCCATCCAATAAACTTCTGGAAAATTAAGAATGAACGTAATACATTATTTTGTAATTAAAAGGCTTTACGTAGGGCAATCCCTTGCAATGGCTTCTCTCCCTTGTCAATGCAGTCATCTCCAGTGATCCCAAGGAGCGATCATATTTTTCACCTGTCCCTTGTCAGCATCATCGGAGAAAAAAAGCTAAATCATCAGCCTGGTTATCTAATATCCAGTTCTAGATATGCAGAAATTTCCTACAATTGGGAAGACTGAAGGCATGTTTTCAATTCCGGCTCCATCCTCTTGTCTCTAATAACTGACTCCATCTAACCTACCTAGCAATTGGACAAGGTTAGGTCTGTCTGTTTGCGCCTTGATATCACATCTCACTGAGATAGTATGAATAAGAGGTTAGAAAGTCATCATTAAAATCAGCTACTTTCACCTCCATAACATCAGAGAACTTCACTAATCTCAGCTGATCTGCTGTTGAAACCCTCACTCAAGCCTTCATCAGCTCATGATTCAACTATTATAAAGCATTTCAGGCTGGTCTCCCCCATTTTACCATGTATAAATCAAAGTTATCTGAAATTGTACTGTCTTAACTCGCAGTAAATTCAATTCCTCTATCACCCTTGTGCTTGCTGAGCTACACTGGCTCTTGATTAAGCAATATCATCTTGATTTTAATATTCTCATTTTTTGTTTTAAAAGCCTTTAAAGCTTCACTGCTTTCCATCTCTAATCTCCTCGAGACCCTCTGATATATTCATGCTCCTCTAATTATGGCTTCTTGAGCATTTCCAATTTTAAATGCTCCATAATTGGTGGCTGAGTCTTCAGTGGCCTCGTCCCTCACCAATGAAATTCCCCTGCTTCTCTCCACCTTATTAGCTTGCTTTCTCTTTTCAGACACTGCCTTCTTAAAGCCTAGCTCTTTGACTAGGCTTTTGGTCCTTTGATCTTATAGATCTTTATGTGGCTCAGTATCATACTTCGTTTTATAACGCTCTTATGAAGTACTTTCATAACTGTTTTTGAATCAACCAAATGCCTAATTAATCAAATGCAAACAAATCAAAAATACCAAAAGATGGAACGATTAACCAGCAGAAAACCAAGGAAATTCTTCAGTCTTCTCTTCTTAAGGTCACCATTCAGGAATCAGCAAATATCATAAAATTAACTAAACTGCTGCCTTTTTACTTACACATTTTAATCCAAAGAAAACAAATATTTCTGCAAAAACCTGAAAATAAAACTTGTCAAGCTTAACTATAAACTTCATTATTAAATATAATGTCTGCAGAACATCCTCCTGACCTCCTCTCTGTAACTTAAGTTAAGCAGTTCACCTTTGCCATGGTTATTTCACAAGGAAAGTGGTGATCTAAAAGTGATGATCATATTCCGTCTATAAGAGATGTATTTCAGGAATTTGTGGTTTTTATCAGGCCATTCTGGGAGTAATACAGTACAGTAAGATCAGCCATGTCACATAGAGATAAAAATGGACAAACAACACTTGTTTTTAGAATTTCAGACTGTTTGAAAAAGAATTTGAGGCAAAATGAAGACACTAGAGATGTTCAAAGACTGAATTATATATAGAAAATGTGGAAATACCCAACACGTTAGGTAGCATTTGTAAAGAGAGAATTGACTTTCAGGTGTTCTAAGGAACTGGACTCAAAACTTTTTCTCTCTCCTTCAATGCTGCTGGACCTGCTGAGTTTCCCCAGCAATTTCTGTTTTTATAACATTTCAGGTTAATGGTTTCCCCATCAGCAATGTAATTTGCATGGTGCTTTGGGTATTTTGTTGTTGAAGCGATGATCATGAAGTTCTTTAATGCTGCCATGAGTATTGTAGCCAGTGAATTTATCCAAGTCTAGACCATGGCAAGCGACAAGCATTTGCGTGCTGGATTGACATTAGGTAGGGAAGGACTCCTGCATTAACGCATCACTAACTGTTCAGAAAGAACTACAGAGCTGGAGTGAAAAAGATCAGAAAAAGATACTAATCAGGTAGACAGAAAAAATAGACTGCACTGGACAGAAATGGAAGAAGAAAAAAAGAACCTGCATCTTAAGTGAACACCACAGGGAGCAAAGAGAAATGACTGTACATAGAATCATAGAATCCCTTCAATGCAGCTCATTGAGTCTGCACTGACTGTTCAAACAGCATCTCACCCAGACCTGGCCACCAACCCAATCCCCATAATCCTTCATTTCCCATGGCCAATCCTCCTAACCTGCACATCTTTGGACTGAGGGAGGAAACCAAAGCACCCAGTGGAAACCACACAGTCACATCATGAGGATAACTGGAAATAGGAGGTCTTGAAAATTGGTAGATAAGTGCATTTTAACCTCTCCAAGTTAGGACCAAATAATTTCCAGATTTTGGAATTTTCTTGATCATAGAATGACTTTAGCGTGCTGAACCACAAATATGTGTGAACTAGAAAACACTGTTATGTAGACATATAGAAATAAAAGAAGTGCCATTTTCTGTGCCTACAAACTCCTTTAACAATTGTTACAAGTATTGAATATGTTTCCATTATAACTAAACCGGGATTGTTGAGGACCCCAAGTAGAAGTCCCAGGCCCCGAGAATCAGTTGTTTTCTAAATCATTTGGTGTTCTTTCATCATCCTTGGTTCTTAGTGGCCATTTGCAGATATAAGTAGTTCCACTCGACCATGTTTCGTTGGGAATGTGGCTGTCACTGACCCCTTTGTGAATGTTGCTTACATCTTCAAGTGTGTTTTTGCCTGGCTGTACTGTGACACTGAATCTGTTGCTGTTTTTTCTGTCGTGAGACCACAGTGTTTGTCACATGGACAGTATCAATTCTTGGTTTTTTGGCTATCACCATCGTTGCCATCATAATTAAAGTTAAATTACAGAGCAATGACAAGAACATGATGATCTGATTTGGAATTATGCTAATAACTTTCAATCAATTCTAGAAATCCCTTATTTTTGTACTCCCACATCTCTAATTTTCTGCCATTCCTCCTGCAGAGGCAGTGAAATAATATTGAGACATGATAATCTTAGCAATATTAATCAATAGTTATTCCTCTATAACAGGCAATCAGCCAAACTGCATATGAACACATGCATATGAACCACAGTGTTAAAACTACATCTTAAAATACAAATGTGTAGTTTTCTGTTGCTGTCTAAACCTCCCACAATATAGTGTGCGTTAAAGACTGCACAGCAGGAAGTGGTTCACAATACTAACACGATCCAGTGGAAAGTGCCCAGTAGCACTCAATAGAGCATAAGATGCTTCAATTACCCTTAAGTTAATTCAACACTGACATATTAACCTTAAAATCACTCTCACTGAAATGAATACACAGGAAGGAGATTAATTTTCTTCCCTATTCATTTGTGGGACGTGGGTGTCGCTGGCTGGCCAGCATTTCTTGCCTGTCCCTAACTGCCCTTGAGAAGTGGTGGTGAACTGCCTTCGCGAACTGCTGCAGTCCACATGCTGTAGGTTGACCCATAATGCTATTAGGGAGGGGATTCCAGGATTTTAACCCAGTGTCAGTGAAGGAAAAGTGATATATTTCCAAGTCAGGATGGCGAGTGGCTTGGAAGGGAACTTGAAGGTGGTGGCGTTCCCATGTATCTGCTGGCCTTGACCTTCTAGATGGAAGTGGTCGTGGGTTTGGAAGGTGCTGTCTGAGGATCTTTGGTGAATTTCTGCAGTGCATCCTGTAGATAGTACACACTGGTGCTACTGAGCGCCGTGGTGGAGGTAATGGATGCTTGTGGATGTAATGGATGCTTGTGGATGTAGTGCCCATCAACCGGGCTGCTTTGTCCTGGATGGTGTCAAGCTTCTTGAGTGTTGTTGGGGCTGCACTCATCCATCACACTCGTGACTTGTGCCTTGGAGATGGTGGACAAGCTTTGAGGAGTCAGGAGGTGAGTTACTCGCCACAGTATTCCTAGCTTCTGGCCTGCTCCGGTAGCCACTGTGTTTATGTGGTGAGTCCAGTTGAGTTTCTGATCAATGATAACCCCCAGGATGTTGATAGTAGGGGATTCAGTGATGGTAACACCATTGAATGTCAAGGGACAGTGGTTAGATTGTCTCTTACTGGAGATGGTCATAGCCTGGCATTTGTGTGGTGCGAATGTCACTTGCCACTCGTCAGCCCAAGCCTGGATATTGTCCAGATCTTGTTGCATTTGAACATGGACTGCTTCAGTATCTGAGGAGTCACGAATGGTGCTGAACATTGTGCAATGAATCATCGGCAAACATCCTCACTTCTGACGTAATGATGGAGGGAAGGTCATTGCTGAAGATGGTTGGGCCGAGGACACTACCCTGAGGAACTCCTGCAGAGATGTCCAGGAGCTGAGATGATTGACCTCCAACAACCACAACCATCTTCCTACGTGTCGGGTATGACTCCAACCACCGGAGAGTTTGCCCCCTGATACCCATTGATTCCAGTTTTGCCAGGGCTCCTTGATGCCACACTCGGTTGAATGCAGCCTTGATGTCAATGGCTGTCACTCTCACCTAACCACTGGAATTTAGCTCTTTTGTCCATGTTTGAACCAAGATCAGGAGCTGAGTGGCCCTGGTGGAACCCAAACTGGGCGTCACTGAGTAGGTTATTTCTGAGCAGGTGCTGCTTGATAGCACTGTTGATGACACCTTCCATCACTTTACTGATGATTGAGAGTAGACTGATGGGGCGGTAATTGTCTAGGTTGGATTTGTCCTGCTTTTTGTGTACAGGACATACTTGGGCA